GGGGGAGGCAGAGCCTCCATGGGAAATTTAAAGAGGGATGCAAAGATTTGGAAGAGCCACTGTGATGAGTGTGTGAGTGACTTAATTAGGTAGGCATAAAAGGATTGCCTGGCAGTAGTGAGAGCCTAGTTGAGTCAATGTAATAGGAATTTGTAGTGGACCCAGTCAGGATGGTTTCATGATTTTCTCTAATTTCATTCAGCAGCACTTGTGTGGATGGTGGGAGTGATTCACGGCAGAGATTTTGCAGGGCAGATTTGGTGATAGGATAAGGGGGCAAGGGACTCAAGAGAGGAGGACAGTGTAGAGTTGAACTGGTTCACCAAGGGGTTAGGATGGGCAGATATTTTTGGATAGAGAATCTCTAAAAAAAAATCACACTGTATAGGTGGCCCCCTACTCTGCCTATAGATGAAATCCAATGTCCACTGTCCTTTTAGGAAATCCCAGGCTTTTGAAGCTACAAATTATAAACACTTGTGTACCAGAGAAAGTTTGAAAGTTCTGTCTCTTGGACCACAGCACCCTCACTGTTTCTAAGATTTTAACTTGTGATAAGATCTCTGACTCACACCTCACTCGCTGCTCCTCCTTCCTTTTGTAGAATTGTTCCTGAGGCTCTGTTTTTAGTTCCCTGGTCATATCCCTGCCAGAATGGGGATGAGGTATAAAGCATTTGAATGGAATTAGGAATGTTGAGTTCTAGGACTTGGAGGTATTTCCTGATCTCCAAAAAACAAACAAACAAACAAACAAAAAAAAACACCTTTTAAAGCAAGCTCCCACTTGCTCTGCTACCGTGGGGCACATTATTTGCCCTGTCTGGTTCTCACTATCATCCGCAAATTCATATTGTGTCTAAAATGCCACAGGTTCAAGGGATGCAAAGAAGTATGAGACAATGTCTGGTCTCAACATCTTTTTGTCTAGTCAGAAAAGCAGGACGCATATACATAAAGAGATAAATAAAAGTGTGTGTGTGGTACCAAATGAGGGGTATGAACAATAAATTCTGTGGGGATTTGGAGGAGGGATCCTATGGGCGGGGATGAGTTAATGGGATTTCAGTGAGATCTCATGCTAGCCCAGGGTCAGGATCTTAGGGGCCTTTAGACATTATTTTATTTGTCTACTTCATTTTACAGATGAGGAAACTGAGGTCCACTGAGGGGAAGTGGCTTGCCCAGGGTCATACATGTAGCAAGTGGCAAAGCCAAGATTTGAATACACTTTCCTTCTTAGTGGGGAGGGGGGAAGGGAGTGGACAGTGGGAGGGAAAGAAGGAAGATTTTTGATGACTAAAAAAAAAAATTTAAAAACAAAACAAATGCAGGTCTTCTTATGCCTCATCCTGGGTTCTTAAGATAGATAGAATCAAAACAAGTGGAGAGGGCATTTCAGGCATTGAGAATGTTGCGAATAAAGGTTTAGAGGTCAGAGTGCATATAGCATATTTAGGAGACCAGTAAAGTGATCAATTTTGCAGGAATCATATGTGGGTCAGTTGTGTGAGATAAGGTAGGTTGGGGTCAGATAACGGAAGTTCTCGAGTTCCAAGTTAAGGAGATGGGACTTTATCCTGTAGGCGAGCTTTTCAAGTTTTCTGAGCAGGTGAATGACATGATCAAAATATGCTGTGTGAACACACTGGGCAGGTGATGGTATATAATAATATTAATGAGTTCATATTTACTGTATATAGTACTTGACAAAGTGTTTACACAATACTTTCCTCATGACAATGATATGGCACAGGTAATATAAATATTATTATCCTCATGCAATGGTTTTTCCTTTGAGAAGGAAGGTTTTTCTTTTCCTTATGACTCTAGATTAGATACTCCAATTTCCAGATACTTTGTAGGTCCGAATCTATTTGAAACCATAGCTCCCAGGCCTCTACCAATGAATTTATTTTTACTAGTCGACCGGAGGTCCTAAATGAAAAAGGCAGTGAGGAAAACATGACGAGAAAACCATTGTAAGTCTACCCCATCATAATCCTCTATTCTAGGCAAATAGAATTGTTATTGAGTCATTGTAGTCATGTCTGACCCTTTGTGACCCCATTTGGGGTTTTCTTGGCAAGATACTAGAATGGTTTGCCATTTCCTTCTCTGGCTCATTTTACAGATGAGGAACTGAAGCAAACAGGGCTAAGTGACTTGCCCAAGGTCACACAGCTAGTGTCTGAGACCAGAACTGAACTCTGGAAGATGAATCTTCCTGATTCCCAGTCCAGTGCTCTTTCACTGTGCCATCTAGCACAGTAAATAGAATTGGTAGAGAAGCTAAAAAGGCCACATTTCTTTGTTACATTTCCCCTCACCCACACACCACACCCTGATCTCTTCCATGTTTCCCTGCACTCATTTTTCCCCCCTTTAATTCTATTGTTTGCTCCAGACCCATGGACACAACTGTTCAGTGAACTCCTTGTTCTGAATCTCCCTGTAGAAATATGGATCAGCAACTGTTCTACAACCTAACCTCTCAGAGAGTCAGTTGCCTTTTGCACTGACTTGCCTAGTCATATAGTCAGTATGTGTTAGAGCAGAGGCTTGAACCCAGATCTTCCTGACTTTTAGGTCAGTTTTATATAGTACTGCACACTGACTCTCTAGGCTCGTTTTACAGATTGCTAAACTGAGGGATTAACTAACTTGCCCAAGTGGTAGAACTGGGACTGGGGCGTGCATCTCCTGACTCCAGATTTAGTGCTCTTTTAGGACCTAATTGGTGGCAGAGGCTAGCTAGGAACCTTTTGCTGTAGACCGCAGCTAGCATCTAGTTTTTCCTGACTCTATGTTCCAGGCAGGGAGAATTAGGAAGTTATCACCGGTAAAAATGATTCCACGACTTGGCACAAAGTAATTTGTGGTTAAAGGATGCTGTGGCTATTTTGGTCCCAATGGGCTTTAGTCACTTCCTTGGCATTTGCCTCTTGCTTGGTTTGTCAGCCAGTTTTTTCCTGGGTTACTCGGGGACATGTGGTGTACTTGTTCAGGATCCTCTTGGCCCTAAATTGGGCTCCAGCTTGGGGGTTCCACATAGGATACAGAAATAAGAGTCAGGTCCTCCAATCTTGACTGTCCTGAGGTTGAGAAGGGGAGCCATCCACCACCCTCAATTTCAAGGCTTCCATGTGCATTAATAGAGAAGTTGGCTTCCTGGTTGGTAGGCTCTGAATGTCAGGAAAGGCCTCTTTGACCTCAGATACGTCCTCCATTATCTTATTCTTCTAGTGCCTGAAATGTCACCATTAGAGAGATTCTTTCATCTGGGCTGAGAATTCATAGCATTTATAGAATTTATGTGGGACTTCGAGAGACCTTATCTAGTCTAACCCCTTCATTTTATAGGGGAGAAAATGGAGGTGCAGAAAGGTCAGATGATATGCTCCAGGCTACACAATGAGCCAACAATAGATTCAGGGGATGTCTGTAACCCTGGCCTAGTTCTTATTTGAATATATCATGTTGCCTCCCTTGTATGTTTAAAAATCTTAATGATCTGAAAATAGCATTTTAAAACAGATCGACTCCAGTTTGGGGCTCTCACTTTACACATCTGTACATAGTGGATTCTAATTTCAGATCTTGTAGATGAACCAAAAATGGTAATCATAGATGAGGATATGATGGAATTAAAGAATTTCAAAATATTTCTGGGTCCTGATTGTGTTGGGGAAGAACAGATAGGAAAGGACAGAGCAGGAAATGGTTACCCAGGCTTGCTAGGGTAGTTATGGGTCTTTTACCTTATTTCTCTCACCATGGGACTCTTTTGGGTTCTTCCTACTGTCCTGACATCTCCTGTCTCCATACATTGGCACAGTCAGCTCCTCTCTTCCCAATTCTCCCATGCCTAAGACCCATTCTTAACATTTCTTCACATCTTGACATTCTTCTGTTCCTTTAAGGCAGTATGATGCAGTGGATAAAGTACTGGGTTTGTAGTCTGGATTTCTGAGTTTGAATCCTGGTTCTGCCATTTATCACCTATGTGGCCTTGGGTAAGGCATTGAACCTCTCTAAGTCTTCATCTTCATTTTCACCTTGGACCTGTTGAAGTTGAGATGTCTACAAGATATTTGGTTTGAGATGTCCAAGCTGAATTGGTGATGTGTGACTAGCTTGAGAGAGAGAGACTAGGGCTGTATGTATAAATCAGGAAATTATCTACATAAAGGTAAATCAATCTGTGGGAGCTGATTAGATCACCAAGAGAGATAGTATAGAGGGAAAAGAGAAGATGGCCCAGGACAGGGCTTTGGGGAATACTCATGGTTAGTGGGTACAACATGGATGAAGAACCAGCAAAGGACACCAAAAAGGAGGGATTGGAAAGACAGAAGAGAACCAGGGAAGAGCAGTATCATGGACCTCAGTTTTCCCATCTATAAAACAAGGTGGTCTGAATTGATGACTTTTAGGACTCCTTCTATTTCTCAATCTATGTTGGGATCATAAGATCATAGACTAAAAAGGGCCCTGTGTAATTACAGGTGAATATATTTGAGTCATAGAAAATGTACTTGTTTACAAATGCAGAGATGGACAAATTTGCAGGCTTCTTCTGAAAATTGAGAATGTATTCATTTTAGAACATTGGTGGAAATATGTCTGGTATCTAGACCAGAGGGCACAGGTCTAGGGACCTTAATTTACATCTAGATAAATTTCTCTGAATAATGAGATGGAAATTAAAACATAGTGCCAATTGCACTGAGCCAAGCTGAATAGCCATCACCTCTGTGCTTCTGTTCCCTCCTCTGTAAAATGGGGCTAATAATTCCCTGGCCACCTGCTTTTGGATAAGCAAATGTTTGTGAAGGGCTTGGTGGGGTATAAGATGCTGGAGAAAAGGGATTATTATGAAACATATAACCATGGGGGATGTATGGCATCTGCCCTTACATATAGAAAAAATGTGACTCCAGCTGAAAGAGTTGAGCCAATGAATGAGATAAAATATCACCTACCTCATTTTCTTATCAGAGGACTGCAGTTTAGCTGGCACAGTGGGGAGGAGATGGCCAACTGGACCAACGGGCCCTCTAATGTCACGGAAGACAGAGCATTGCAGAGCAGCAGTGACACCAGCACCAGGTACAGACCCAGCTACAACTACAGAGGAGGGGAAAACAGTCCAAGTGGGTTCTGCTGCTTCCTTCCACCCTGCCTGTCCCCACAGGACTACCCCAGGGGTTCAAATGAAATCAGGCCCTTACTCTGGTGGTAGGATGCTCATCTTCTTGTCTTCCTACTACTCATTTTTTTTTTAAGCAACTGGGGTTAAGTGACTTGCCCAGGGTCACACAGCTCGTAAGTGTCAAGTGTTTGGTCTGAGGCTGGATTTGAACTCAGGTCCTCCTGACTTCAGGGCTGATGCTCTATCTACTGCACCACCTAGCTGCTCATTTTTAAAAAAAAATTTTTTTTTTTAGGCATTGTTTTCTTGTCTTCCAAAGGATAAGGTCTGGGTGAGATTGAAGGAGGGGTGTGTGGGGTCAGTCCTTAGCAAAAAGGCAAAGTTAGTGGTTTGCCTTTGGTTTCTCCCCCAGTCATTGCTTGGTGACCTTCTGGCCTTTCATGGTATAGTTTCCATGCTATCCTCTCTCCTGCCCCAAGATCTTCCCAGTCATTTCAGGTTCCCAGTATCCTGTATTGTCTCCCTTTCCAGCCAAATAGACTTACCTTTAGAAGAGACTTTAATATCAGTAACCTTGGCCTGAGGGTGACTGAGTCTCTGTGCTCCCTTCCCAAGGGGTTTGTTCTTTAAGTCTCATTCAGCTCTGGGTTAAAATTCCACTTCTGCTAATTACTATCTATGTGGCCTTGGACAAGTCCCCTAATCTACTTGGGCCTCAATTTCCCCATTTGCAAAATGGGAGGGGGTGGGTTTGGAATAGATAATCTCTGAGGTTCCTTCTATCTCTACATCTGTGATCCCATGGTCACTAACCATGGAAAGAAAAGCTCTATCTCCTAGTAATGGGATTTTAAGTACCATGGAGCAGATGGGAGAAGGTTGTTTCCCACATCCCTGAGGTGGGGGAGCCCACTCCACCCCTATACAGTGCTGGCCCTGGGGGCAGCAGAGTCTTCCTGAGAGACGAAAAGCCCCTCAGAGCTAAGTGTGCCTTTCCTTGGTCTGGTTTTCTACCTGATTCTATAATTAGTAAATAAGTGCGATGTGTATATTTAGGAGTCAATTAAAATTTAATTCTCATGGAAAGAATATCGCACTCCATCCTGAATGCATTATGGGGAATTTGTGCTTAACAGACGAGTTGTGTTTGTTGGAGATGCACATCTTGGGGAGATGCCAGCAGAGCTGTGTCAGGGAGATGAATCCAAATATACCATACCATTTATTGCTGGTATCTGCAAGCAAGAGGTGGCTTGTATATTTCTGTTGCACTGGGGAAAACATGAGTTTTGTTTGCGGTTAATTTTTTAAAAAAAGTTTTGTTGATGCTTTTTGTTTTTATATCACATTTATATCACAAAACTCTTCCCTCCTCCCAATCCTCAGTTTTCCTTTGTAACAATGAAAACCGGTGAAACCAGACTAGCCCATGACCAGTTCTGACAGCATATGTAACATCCCATATCTATTGTCCTTAAATGAAAATTGGATCAGAGAGGTGTGTTTCCTTATCTCTTCTCTGGGGCCCAGATTGAGCATTATAAGTACATAGCACTTACCTTTATTTTATTATTCTTTTTATTTATATTATTATAGTGGTGATGCATATTGTTTTCCTGATTCTGTTTATTTCACTCAGCATCAGTTCATGTAAGTCTTCCAGAGGTTCTCTGAATTCCCCATATATTTGTAATTTCTTACAGTACAATAATATTCCTTTATATTTGTATTCCAGAGTTGGTTTAGGCATTCCCTGATTGATAAGTAAGTACCCGCTGTGTACTTTACACAGATCTTTATTCCCACAAAAAGTGATACTATGAATATTTTGATAATTTGACCTTCTTTCCTTCATTCCTTCCTTTGTTCCTTCCTTCTTTCCTCCCTCCCTTCCTTTATCCCTCTCTCCCTCCCTTCTTTTCTGCCCTTTTCCTTCCTTCCTTCTTTCCTTCCTCCTTTTCTCCTTTCTTTCTCTTCCTTCCTTCCTCTCTCTCATTTTCTGTTTTTTCTTTTTCTTCTCCTTTTTTCTTATTCTTTTAAATTTTTCATTGGTGCTTTTTATTTTTACAGCATAGTCATTCCTATACACATACCCATCTCCCTATAACAAGAATTAGACAAAACCAATTGACCTGTCTAATAGTATGTAACATTCTTCTTCTTTCTCCTTACTCACATCTTGTCTCTCTCCCTTCTGTTCTTTCTCACTCTCTCTAAAGTAATTTACTCAAGACTGCACTGTGACAGTGTGGTGTAGTGGGAAGAGAACTTGATTTGCCATTTACATCTTGGCCTTGCTACCAATATGACCCAGGGCAAGCAACTTAATCTCTCTGGGTCTGTTTCCTCATCTAAAAAAATTTTTGGTTGGTGTTGGGGGGGTCTTACCAGCTCTAAACCTAGGACTCTATATGGAACTCAGGATTGCTAGATTTGTTCTGCTTGGGCTGTCTGCACTCTTCTTTCAGGGGTGGAGAGTTCCCCAAACCAAAGACCATCTCCAGCAGTGGGGTGTGTGTGTGTGTATGTGTGTGTGTGTGTGTGTGTGTGTGTGTGTGTGTGTGTGTGATGTACTTATATCTGCCTGCCTCAGATCAATCACTTCACCCGTGCAAAGAAAAATCTTATTAGTCTGAGGTCAGACCCCAGGTAAAGCAGAAAACAAAAATAAAACAAATGAAGATGATCAGAGTTTCTTTAGAAGACTGACAGACCTGATTAATGATCTAAGTTTCTCATGTTATCACTTTCAAGTGTCTTCTCATTTCTCCTTACATTAACAAAACAAAACAAACAAAAACTGAAAGTGTGGTCACCAGTGACTTTCCCCTACCCCTTTCTCCTTTCAACCACCTTTTAATCTTTAGCAACCTAAAAGGGTATTAAGCTGTCATCTTCACATTTTTCTGTACTTTCTGGAGATGATCTCTCTCTTCCCCTCACTTTTCATCTTCCTCAATTGCTTTTTCCTCTTTTATTTCCTTTTCTACCCTGCCTCTGCCTCTAACTTGCCAGAGTGACTAACTTCATTTTTTCCTCTCCCACTCCCTTGCTTAGTTCCTGTCCCCATAGGGATGGATAGGATGCTGAGCCTTGAAGAAGAGGCTCGACCATTGAGTATAATGTCATTATTAAGATGACCCCTGACTACTAGAACTGATGGTTTTATGACTCTTCAGCCCAACCTAATGACTGGCTAGCAATGAATCATAGCTAATAGTTCTGTTTCTCTGATCCCCAGATCTTGCTGATTTGTAAACAAATTATATCACCAGAGTAGATCTGTTTCTCCTTCTTTAAAATAGTTGGTATGACACTGGGCACCAAACTTACCGAGATTTTATGAGGTTAAATTTAACTATTCAGTTGGTTCCCAGGCTCCCAAAGCCACTCTCTCCCCATTCTCCCTCATTGTCATTATAGTACTGTACACTCCATAGCTTTCCGGGCCACATATCTACTTTTTACCTGGGTCATCTACAATCAAATAGCAATGAACATGCTATTTGGTACTTTTCAATTTTCCCCACTTGGGCTGATTGAAAAACTGAATATTTATTTTTATTTTTTAAAATAATATTTTCCCCCAATTACACGTGAAGATGATTTTCAACATTCATTTTTTATGACTTTGAGTTCCAAATTTTTTCTCTTTCCTCTCTCCCCTCCCCCTCCCCAAGATGGCAAGCAATCTGATACAGATTATGCGTGTGCAATAATGTAAAACGTATTTCCACCTTAGTCATGTTGTGAAAGAAGAAATATAACAAAATGGAAAAACCCCCAAAACCCCAAAGAAAATGAAAATAAAATGCTTAAATTTGCATTCAGACTCTATCAGTTATTCCTTTGGTTGTGGATAGAATTTTTCATCGTGAGTTTTTGGAATTGTCTTGGATCATTATATTGCTGAGAAAAGCTAAGTCATTCATAGTTGATCATCATACAATGTTGCTATTACTGTGTACACTGTTCTCTTGGTTCTACTCACTTTACTCAGCATCAGTTCATGTAAGTCTTTCCAGGTTTTTCTGAAATCTGCCTGCTCGTCATTTCTTATGGTACAATAGTACATTACATTCATATACTACAACTTGTTCAGCCATTCCCCAGTTGATGGACATTCCCTCATTTCCAATTTCTAAAGAATTTCCAATTCTTTGCCACCACAAAAAGAGCTGCTATAAATATTTTTGTACATGTAGGTCCTTTCCCCTTTCTATGTTCTCTTTGGGGTACAGACCTAAAAGTGTTTTTGCTGGATCAAAGGGTATGCACATTTTGATTACCCTTTGGACACAGTTCCAAATTACTCTCTAGAATGGTTGGATCAGTTCATAACTCTACCAACATGAATATCTATTTTTCAAAGATACAGTAACATTAGTGACAATAGCAGTATGATTTTGGTGGTCAAAGATTACTAAATTCAGTCAAAGTGACTTCTTCAGCCCTGGAACAGTTAAATTTACCCAAACCTCAGTGGTTTCTGGCACTCTGATGGCCTTCACTAGTCTATTTAATATGATTTCACTGGGTCATTGGATAATAGCCCTAGACACGTGAGGATTGCAGCTGCAGAGGATGTGGGGGAGTGTCTTTCATTCTGTGCTCCCAGTGATGTTAGTGCTTGTCTCCTGAGACATCTCATGGTCCCATTCAATAGTGTGAGAAATGAAAGAGTTAAGTTTCCACATAAGTAGATAAGAAATCAGCACAGGCAGGCTACCTTCTCCGTCCAAGGAGGAGGGACAGTGATCTAGGCATATAATGTATGTTAGGGGTGGGGCATATAAGGAAGATTGTAACCCAGAAGGATTAGGACCAATCCTGATCCAGAGGGAGGAGTTAGGTAATTACTAACTATAAAGCTTGTTCTGGCTTCTTTTACAAGTACAATTCTCACCTTCCAAGGAGGTGTGCCCACTTCTCACGAGAGTCAAAAGGATGCACTTCA